CAATACTCTCCATGAGGGTCAAAATTGGAGCCTCGAATAGCCTCTGCCGAAGGGTCTCGAATGCTGACTGCTGCTCGGGGCCCCACTGGAAATCCACCCCTTCCTCGTCAGACGAGTGAGGGGTACTACAATCTTGGAGAAATCCTAAATGAATCTCCGGTAGTACCCTGCCAATCCCAAGAAACTCTTGATATCTGAGGGAGATTTCGGAACCTCCCGCTGCATCACCGCCTCTCGTAGCCAGAACTCGCACTTCGAAAACTTAGCATAAAGCCGTTCTCGCCTCAAAACCCCCAGGAGCTCGCAAAGATTCTCCTCATTCTGCTATCTGGTCTTGGAATATACCAAGATATCATCAATAAACACGATAACCGACCGATCGAGCATCGGCCTACATACTCGATTCATCAAATCCATGAACATTGCAGGTGCATTGGTGAGTCCAAATGGCATCACCACGAACTCGTAATGCCCATAACGAATCCGGAACGCGGTCTTCTCCACGTCCTCCTCTTTCACCCTGACCTGATGATATCCAGACCTCAGATCTATCTTGGAGAACCAAAATATACCCTGCAACAGATTAAAGAGATCATCAATCCGTGGAAGGGGATAACGGTTCTTCACCGTTAACTTGTTCAACTCTCGGTAATCAATACACATTCAGTGTGAACCATCATTCTTCTTGACGAATAAAATCGACGCTCCCCACGGAGAACTACTCGATCTGATGAACTGCTTGCCTAGCAGTTCCTGCAACTTAGATGAAAAATCATGCATCTCGGGCGGTGCCAAATGGTACGAAGCCCTGGCAATCGGGGCCGCACATGGCATGAGCTCGATCCTGAACTCAACCTGCCTCTCAGGAGGCACACTGGGTAACTCCTCCGGAAATATATCGGCGAACTCCCTGAACACCGGGACCTCTGAGACTGAAACCTCATCCTCAACACGCGTATCCACCACATAAGCCAAATAACCTGCACACTTGTGTTGAATATATTGTAGAGCCCGGGCTGCAGAAGAAAACCTTGAACCCATCCTGGTGCCCTCTCTATAAATATCCATTTCTCCCCCACTTGGGGTTCGAACTAGCACACGCTGACCCTCGCAGTCGATCATAGCACCGAAACGGCCCAGCCAATCCATACCCACATTCATGCAGACATCCCCCATGGGGATAGGGATCAAATCTATCGGGAAGGATATCCTGAAGATCTCCAGGTCGCAACCCTGATATATTGAAGAAGCATAAACCCCATGCTCGTTGGCGATAGAAACTTGCAACGGACACTCCAGCTCCCCTAAGGGCATAGCAAACTCCCTACTAAAAGATCGAGAAACAATGGACCGACTCGCACCCGAGTCAAACAACACTAAAGCGGGCAAGGAGTTCTCTAGGAACGTACCTACCAAAGGTACAAATATTTAAGCATAATACAAACATAATCAATAAGATAAGGGATAGAAACATACCAGTCACAACATCTGGTGTTGCACTGGCCTCCTCGGTAGTAAGCTGGAAAGCGCGACCTCGAGCCCTCGGGGGCTCCGCCCTGCCCTGACTTCCGTCAGTGATCCTAAAAGTAGCAGGCGCTGGAGCATGCGTCGGCCTGACAGCGAGCGATGGACAGTTGGCCTTCACATGGCCAACCTGGTCGCAATGATAACAAATCCTGGAACTGAGTGCTGGAGCCTGCTGGCGGCAATCCCTCGCCATGTGGCCCTGCCTGCCACAATTATGGCACCCAGACGATGACCGAAAAGCACCCTCATGCGCCTTGCCGCACTTCCCACAAGTGCGGCCCTTTCGGCCCCCCAAAATACCACACTAGCTCACAAAATTAGAGGGAATGATGATTAGGGTTCATAAGGGCCGATATGGGGGTTTGGAGGCTGATAAAAGATCAGCCCTAGGGACTTAAGGAGGTTATATAGGGTGCAAAACCCTAAAATTTAGGGTTTCTCATTCAGTCGCCAACACGCCGAGTTTCCCTCACCAACTCGCCGTGTTGATTCATAAAAATACGCGGCCCAAAAGACCTTCAACACGTCGTGATGAGGCCTTCACCACGCCGTGTTCTAATGGAAAATCATGCTTAAAGGAAAATCCCATACCTGGGAATCGGGATGTTACACCTCGTACGCCCAGCGTACGAGGCCTCGCATCCGCGATCCAACCCTCCTAGTACGCTAATCGTACACCAGTGTACCCCTCGCGTACTGAACCTCGCACAAGTACGCCCTGCGTACTCCCTATGTACGCCCCGTGTACTCGGGTTATCCTTAAACCCTGCAATCCTCCGAAGGCCATAACTTTTTCATTATAAATCCGATTTCAACGATCCTTATTTCAATGAAAAGGTAATGAAAAGCTCTACACTTTTATCAAATCATATTTGCCTTAAAATCTCCCAAACAAAAATCCAATTTCCATAAAATTCGGAGTTGAAACTTTACCAAAATACCCCTTGGCTCCAAAACCCAAACCGAACACCCGGATCATCTAAATTACGTCACCCACATCCAAATGGGTCTAGATCTCATTTCCTCAGAGGTCCTAAGCCTGATAATACCCGATCTTTGTTCACCACCCCGAAATAGGAAACGATTTGGAAAAGAGCGTTACATATTCAAAGGATTTCATTGTTTTCATTTTAATTTCCCTAAATCCGATGCAAATACATGCTTGTACTTGATTCTACCATCATGGATGAATTTGACCATTCTAATTAGTTTTGTTGCTATCAAATATCATCTAGGTCATAGAATCCATTACCACTTCATCATCAATAGTAATGTCCCCAATTTGGGTTTTCTAGGGTTCATGAGGGTTTTCACCCAAATCCTCAAATCCATCAATGGGGTGATTGGATTGAGATTAGGATCACCAAAACTACTCAGTAGAGGTTAGAAAACCAAACCCTAATCATTTTAAGAAACAAATTTCGACATTGGGGTTAGACCCACTTGACAAATTCTAATTCTAAGCTAAAAGATGGGAAGATTTTAACCTTGCAAGCCTTGATTCTTTTTCTCCTTTGTTTTATTGTTTAATTCTTCACGTGGATCGAACCCTAGATGAAAGGGAGAAAAAAATTGTCATTTGAAGCTCTCTAGAATGATCATACGTAACTGTAAGAGAAATCAAAGGAGTGTTCATCTTATTTCTCATTTGTTCACATTTGGTCCCATAAGTTTACTTGTTTTGGCCAAAACTCACTAAACCTCCATATTTATGATTCTTAACTTAAGATTTGACATATTAAGTCCTTCCTCATAAACTTAATAAGTTTTGTAGTCCTTTCCATTAATTAAGTCAACACTTTGGTCAAACTCACTTTGCCAACTTGACATTTTTGGTCCTTTAACTTTGAAAGGTTACTATATTTGCTTTTACTTTCTAAACTTCATATCAACTAATGATATGATTATCCCATAATGACTAATTATATAAATCTCTCTTTATTTATTTACATTATTAATTTAATAATCTAGTCTTAAATTTTAGGATGTTACAGCCAAGATAACTTGCATGGCTACAAGGGAAGAAAAAAAATCATAACTTTCCTAGTCCAAATGGTCCAAGAAAATATTTTAAACTAGTCAAAAGGTGTTGGAGTCGATCTGAATTCATAGATACATTCTCCCAATTACTATGTCACATTGGGTTAGCACCTAGTGGATCTACTTACTAAGTAGCTCTAACCAACACCATTTGAATGACTATATTCCAAGGTTGCCCTTTCCTCCTAACATTTCAATTGTTTAATAACACCGCCCTCGATTGTTTCTTGTCAATCTCATCAACATTGTTACAGCTTGTTGTATTAGCTTTAACCAAATCATTGGTTTATCCAATTTTGATGAAGTATTATCCATTCGATCACAATAATGTGACGGAAAATATAAGCATTCTATAAACATGACGATGCTTTTCTTACAACTGCCAACTATGCATCTTAATGAAACAAAGTTAGCCCACAACCTACTGCCCATAAAATGTTTGAATATTTTTAGGCTCAGACCCAAAAAGAGGCCCAGAAAAGACTGAAAAAAAAAAAAAAAAAAAAACATATTGGATTCGTTTATAAAAACAAAAAATTTGGTATCTACATTACCATACATAACCAACCACTGGTGTATACCGTAGAGCCGTAGAGGTATGTCCTGTCTACAATGAACTTGGCTATTTATGAATGGATTATTAGAACTCTTAAAAATAAAATTCATCATGGAATCAATGAGACAATCTTTGACAGCCAATTACTCAATTTTTTACAAATATGAATCGTTAAAATATCATGTCGGACATTCAAATTCTTGATGTCATTATTTACTTTACAAATACGCTGACAATATATATTTATAATACCAAATAATAACCCATGTTATTTTCAGTTTTAATGTCGAGAAAACATATTTATACTAGCAACTAATCATTACGTTGACAAATATTTGCTACGTATCAATTAAACATAATATCTACTCTAATAAATAAAGATAATTTTGTCATATGTCAATCTCTAATAAATTAACATTTGTCCTTTTGTGATATTTTTTAAATAAAGAAAAGTTAACATTTGTCCTTTTGTGATATTTTTTAAATAAAGAATATCCACGTATCAATTTATGGTTTTTTATAATTTTTAAAATTAAAAAGTCACATAATCTTCTACTTATATATATAAAGTATCAAATATAATAAATATTATAATAAATTACAATTAATATGCTTCATTCATTATTTCAAAAAAAAAAATTTAAAATACTTATTATTTACATTTTAATATTTTATTTTTTTTAATCAACCCGTGTAATATACGGATTTTAGACCTAGTGAAACAGTAAACAAACATGTGAGATGTATATACGGATTTTAGACCTAGTGAAACAGTAAACAAACATGTGAGATGTCAGTAAAAACTAAAAATAAAGACTTTTTTCCGAATTAATGATTCTTTTTCATAAAACAAAAAGTTAAGACTTTAAGAAATCCCTCACAAAGCTTCGATTTCTTTCAAGAACTTAAGCACATGAAGCATCGTCGGCCGATTAGCCGGATTTTCAGAGACACAAATCGCAGCAAACTTAACCGTTTTAAGCATCGCCGGCTTCCAATCATCATTAACAACCGTTGGATCAAGCACATCGACGGCCTGACCTTTCTTGATCTTATAGCAAACCCACCCAACCAAATTCCCACCTTCAACATCTTTAAACTCCGGTCCCGTCGGCTCTTTTCCGGTAACCAATTCAAGAAGTATCACTCCAAAACTGTAAACATCTCCTTTCGTCGTTGACCGCCAGCTTTGACCATACTCCGGTGGAATGTAACCAAATGTTCCCGCGAGATCAGTGCTTACGTGAGTCTCGCAAGCACTTATCAACCTGGCTAACCCAAAATCAGCAACTTTAGGCTCGAGATCTTGATTAAGTAGAATGTTACTCGCTTTAATATCTCTATGAATTATATGTGGAGTGAATCCATGGTGCAAAAAAGCTAACCCACGAGCTGCACCCACCGCGATCTTGAATCGTTGGGTCCAATTCAAGATTCCGGTGTCACCTGTTCGAGCTCGAAGCCAATGATCCAAACTTCCATTCTCCATATAATCATAAACCAGAAGTTTCTCTTCACCAAAAGAGCAGTAGCCAAGCAACGATACGAGATTCCGGTGCTTCACCTTTCCTAGGGTTTCCATTTCGGCTAAAAACTCTCGTTGACCCTGTGTTTTTGATTGATTCAGTTTCTTGACTGCGACGGTTTTCCCGTTTGGCAATTGGGCTTTGTAAACGGTTCCAAATCCACCATCGCCAACAATTTTTGATTTACAGAAATTGTTGGTGGCTTCAAGAATGTCGACGAGAGTCAACCTCACGAGGGATTGTTCAAACATGGCTACATTGATGCTTAACGATTCTTTGGACCTGCTGCTACTCAAAAGATACAAATTGTGATCGACTGAACCGCTATTACTAACACCGGGATCTTCACAATCAGTCTTCCTTTTGGTTGATTGAATGCGTCTTTTCACCATGAGAGTTATGGAAATCGTGATCAACAAAGTCCCTGTGGCGATTGAAGCCAATGACCAGAGATTGAAGAACTTTGAACCTCGTCGGAAGCTTGTGTCTGGGCATTGTAAACTGAGTATCCCACCGCATAACGCTTTGTTCCCGGATAACAAGATTCTTGATGTATTCCCGCAAATTCCGTTCCTCGGAACCAGACCTTCTAACCGGTTTCCGCCCAAATTCAAACGGTTTAAAGTCAAAACATTACAAAGACTATCCGGAATTCTTCCCGAAAGCCTGTTGTTTGAAAAATCTAAGTACTCTAGCTCGATCAGATTCCCAAGCTCCGGTGGAATCTCACCAGAAAATCCATTCCCGTGAAGATCCATGGAAGTCAGATACGTCATATTCCCTAGCGCTCGAGGTAATGCACCAGAAAACAAGTTACCACTCAAATTCATGATCTCGATCCGCCACTCCGTGCTGCCAAAGAAAAGTTGATCAATATGACCGGACAACCTGTTTTCTTGTATGAACAGCCCAACAAGATTCACCATGTCTGAAAGAGAAGAAGGAAGTTCACCATCAAGCAAATTGTTGCTTAAATCCAAATGTGTCAATCCAATTAACCCCTCAAATGTGGAAGGAATTGGGCCGGAAAGACGATTTCCGGTCAAATTAAGCTTCACAAGACTTTGGAGTTGACCTAGTTCGATAGGTATGGAGCCGGTGAGATTATTATTCCCCATATACAAACCTTGAAGCTTTGATGAATGGCCGAATTCACCAGGTAACTCACCGGATAAAAGATTGTTAGATAAATCTAACGTCGTGAGGTTGGTCAACTTAGTCAAAGATGTGGGGACCTTCCCGGAAAGTAGATTACCATTAAGCAAAAGATCCACCACAACCAAACACTTTCCTAGTTCCTCTGGTATCGTGCCACTCAGACGATTATGTGAAAGATCATATAACCCATGGTGCTGAACAAAACTTGAATCCGGAATACTAACTTGGCTAAAGTAACTTGATTTGTTTGAAAACGGAATTGAACCAGAAAGATTGTTATTCGAAAGTACCAAACACTGTAATTGCGATAAACCAGTGATTTCTTCCGGAATCGAGCCATTGAATTTGTTTCCACCAAGATCCAAGGTCGTAAGAGAGATGCATTCCCCAAGTTCAACAGGAATGGAGCCGGAGAAATGATTTGAATTCAGATTAAGAACCGAAAGGGACGTGAGCTTTTGAATCTCTTTCGGGATTTCTCCTGTGAACCTGTTGTTACTGAGAATCAGCCTTTCTAACGTGACAGAATTCCCTATTTCTTCAGGGAGATTACCCTCCAACTTGTTGTTTGCAGCTGAAAACTCCATTAAATTCACCGACTGAAATAAAGTTATCGGAATTGAACCCGTTAAGTAATTTGAATCAAGATCAAGAACCATTAACGGAAGCTTAGAAAAGTAATCAGGAATCGACCCCACAATTTGGTTTTCAGACAGCACCAATTGAGTAAGATTATTACAGGCCATAAAAGTATCCCCAATTGAACCCGTAAGGAGATTGCTTTCAAGATCAAGCTCCGATAATGAAACCGCATTGCATATTTCCTTAGGAACAAAGCCCGTTAACAAGTTATTGCTTAAACCCAAAACATTAAGCAACGTACAGTTACCAATCTCCGGTGGGATCACGCCAGTAAACCGGTTTCCGGCCAACAGAAGTGAGCTCATCCGATCCCATTTGCCAACCCAATGTGGAAAAGGACCCGAAAGCTGATTATTTTCTGCGGAGAACGACATTAATGGTAGCCGCGAAAGCTCTTGTGGTAAATGCCCCGATAACGAATTGAAAGAAAGAACCAACGTCATGAGATTACGACAGTTTCCAAGCTCGCCGGGAATGGAACCATTCAGTTCGGCGTACACAAGGTTCAATATTGTCAAGTTTTGCAATTTTCCAAACGATTTTGGGATAGAACACTTTAATGGGTTATAAGAAAGATCGAGTTTTGATAACGATTTGAGGTTTGAAATGGTGTCCGGCAACGGGCCTTGTAATGAACAAGAAGGAGAGTAAAAGTTCTGTAAATTTTCAAGATTTCCAATTTCCGGTGGCAGTACGCCGGAGAAACGATTGATTCCAAGAAAAAGATCGGTAAGTTTTGACAGGCTTCCGATTTCAGGAGGAATGTGGCCAGAAAGTGTATTGTTTGCGATATCCAAAAAGATTAGATTACTAAGGTTGGTGAGAAGATACGGAGAGACAGAACCTGATAGAAAATTGTTGCCGAGACCGAGTGATCGGAGTTTCGTAAGGTTTCCAATCTCCGGTGGGATTATTCCAGTAAAAGAGTTGGATGAAAGGTCAAGCGACTCCATATTTAATAATCTTCCAATAACAGGAGGGATAACGCCGGAAAAGAAATTGGGTCCAAGCTCAAGTGTTTGCAACTGAGTCAACTCCCCGAGTTCACTTGGTAACTCGCCGGAAAACTGATTATTACCCAAATTCAACACTTGCAGCCGCCGGAGTTGGGATATTTCTCGAGGAAGTTCGCCGTAAAACAGATTTGAAGAAAGGTCCAAAACGATGAGATTTGAGAGAGAAAAAAGGGAAATGTGGAGTGAGCCTTTGAGTGAGTGAGTTGAGAGAACGAGTGAAGTAACTCGTTCGTTTTGACAAAGAATACCTTCCCATTGACAATGTGGGGTGGTGAGGTTCCAGGTGGTGAGTATACTGGGGTTCAAAAGTGAGTTCTTGAAGAACAGCAAGCTCTCTTTTTCTGGGTGTTGATCGATAATGGCGGCATTGTTGAGGAAGAAGAAGCCAAATAGTATGCATGAAAGGGACAGAAACTTGAACACCATAGCCTTCGAATTTGAGAGAGAGAGAGAGAGAGAGAGAGAGAGAGAGAGAGAGTCAAATAAGTGAAAAGACGAGGTAGCCTTATATAGAGGAACACTTCAATGGTGGTTTTCTTGATATTTTTAGTCAATATACCCATGTCACTTGGTTTCCAGGCGTTTATGTGCATTTTAGGATTATTGCAGTTTTAATAAATGAATAACTATTTGTTAGAAATTCAGATATTCAAATAGTTTTGTATTTATTTCAGTAAAAATGTTATTTTATTTTGTATAATCTAAAAAGCTTATAACATATCTACATTTGAAATCAAATGATACTCACTAATCTATGCAATGAGTTATAATCTCTTGTAAAAATTGAAGTTTGACAATAAAATAACCTTTTCTAACAATTTATGTGGCTATTTTTTAATTTGCTATCAATTTATAAAGATAATTTGATAAACTAATACATAAATAGATAATATACTAAAACAGAATTACACATATCTATTTAAAAATACTCTTTGTTTTACTTCAATGGATTATATAAATCAGATTTACATTAAAATTGATTATAATATTTAAAAAATAAGTTTTACCCTTCTCAACCGGGGGATAGAGGGTGTGTGGGGAACATGAAAGAGTTCTAGGAATCCCGAATTTGTCTTGTGTACCGTGAAAGAACGGTGTCGTTTCAAGTCAAGTGTACTTTAAAGTGGGACCAGAAAGTGAAATGGCTATGGAAATTGGACGGTCAAACAAATTTGGGTCTTGTTGATTTACTACAATAACCCTAAAAGTGGTTGATACGTTACTATAAACAAAGGATATTGATGTCATTTGACGACACAACTCTTTTTTTCATATTTAATGCGGATGCTTAGAATGGGAACTCACGTGTAACTGGCTTTATATGGAAGCAGAATAGTGATTACTGATGCTTGTAATTAAGAATTTAAATTAGGTTTTATTTATGTTTACACTATTGACTATACACTATGTAAAAAGGATTAATAAATAATTAAACGGCTGGGTTTGGCATATATGCATGTATGATGTACCTTTGGAATTCAATGCATGCTGAGTATTTGTTACAGTCAAAGTCGATTGTACTTACAGATCATTAACGGACAATGGGTTATAGTCTTATAGAATACTCATAATTTTATTGGGGTTTTTAATAAAGTAAATAATAAACAACAATACTATTTATTGAGTTTTTTTAGTACAAATATTTGGTGAAAATTCAATAGCAATATTAAATGGAAATTTATAAAAGATAAAGTACAGAGTTATTAGAAGAGTTTTTACACATTATTTTGTATTTTTTTTTAATAATTATCTTTACTGTTGTATGTTTCTCTTGCTTTTGATTCACGAAACTTGTAAAATAACCACGTGTATTTTTTAACTTGTGCAAAGTGACCATTGAATACCATTTTTGGTCATTGCCAAAAGATTTGCCTATACAAAAAAATGAAAGAAAAAAAAATCATTCCTTCTGGCTATCAACATTAGACCCCTCCGAGTGTCAATAACGTAGAGGTAAATCAAAATCACTATCAGTTTTGGGGATACAAGGTTTGAACTTTGAACAACATTTATGAAATCTTACAAGTTAAGTACCAGGCTCCCATCATCGGTCACTAATGTATCTTACAATCACACGATGATCTTGCTTAGGGTATAATAAATCACTATTAGTATTTTTCCTTGGGATTCTTTGATACCTCAAGGACACCATGTTTCATGTTTAAATATGAAAGGTTTAATGCAAATATAGATCTATTTTAGGTTATTATGTCTTTAATTATCGTTCAAATAACTCAATTACCCCACTACCATTATTTTCACTCACTAATCATCATATGATGATCTCGATGGATCTTTCTTAAAGGACCTTTATCAATGGACATATATAATTCCTAGGTGATTAGGTACGGTAGTATTATAATACTTTGGGTAAACACGACAAACGTTAGTATATTAGTGCTTTGGATAGTCACGACAGACATGACAGTACAATATTACTTGAGATATACACAACAATACAAAAGTACTTGGAATAAGCATGACACTACGAAAGTACTTGGGATAGGAACAACAATACAAAATTACTTGGAATAAGCATAACAGTACAAAAATACTTGGGATAGACACAACAATACAAAGTACTTGGAATAAGCACGACAATACAAAATTACATGGGATAGGCACAACAGTACAAAAGTACTTGGAATAAGCACGACAGTACAAAAGTACTTGGGATAGGCACAACAATACAAAAGTACTTGGAATAAGCACGGCAATACAAAAGTACTTGGGGTAGACACAACACACACGACTTATTATTTCGTACGGCTTTTACTAACCTATCATGACAACTATCTCACACAACCCTATCACAACCTCTCATTTTTCGCACAGTCCTTCACAACTCAATCATATTATTAAGTATGATAAATATATAGTTAAATCAATACAATCATATTGTATGACTACATTAAACACATCAAAGACAACACACATAGCAATTAAGCATTTGGAATACTTGTATTTATGTGTAAACAGAAAGTAACTATGCACTTACCTGACTTAGGTGAATGACTGGAAAGTTCGGCAGCACTTTACCAAACATATTGACTTTTTCTTTGACGTGACCTAGTATATAATGATTACTAAGTCTCAGACTAATACTCCTGGCGACTAATGATAGTCTAGATTCCTCAACAATCTCATTGTCTACATCAAGATCTATCAAGTAAGAACAACCAGGTAGGATCATATCATAGGTATGGTCCGTTTGGTATACATAATATACGGTTTGGAAATCTCACTTTAAACACATCATGAAATCCAACCTAGATATCATCCTCGTAAGTAGATTAATCAGTATAATGACTTGGAATCACTGATAAATCCTAATTATAGGTTCATAATAACGACTATGACTATAATTAAAAGTTACACTTGAATAAAATAAGTGTAACATAACTTATAAAGTATTCTAATAAAAACTAGGAATTAAGCGGGCAGAACTCAAACTCGAGAGTTCCTAATTGTAGGCTATCAGACCATGCAGGGCTTCACTAACTAAAAACTTAAGGGAGAAAAGGGCTTAAAATTGATAGAAATCGATAGAGAAACGTTTGAAGGGTATAGCTGAATTTGGACAACAGTCGCGTACCTGGTCCCCTGCGCGGCACACATTTGGTTGAAAGTGATGACGTGTCATTTTATGTGTGGTGCCATGTTGTACATTTTGGGTGAAGTGTCAGTACGCGTCGTGCATGCTATCTGTGCGACCGAATGCACACGGGAAAATCTGAATTCTTAGAAAATTCATAACTAATTCATACGAGCTCCATTTTTTATGGTCTTTATATCCACACATAGCTAACAACGAGATCTATAACTTTCATTTAGAATCCGTTGGCTAAATTTGATTTTATTTTTAACGTTATATTTTTAACAGGCTTAGACTGTTAAAATCTGTTAAAATTTCACAACTCTCTCATATGATATCCGTTCTCGACTGTCTTTATATCGACAGATCGGTATTAACGAGATCTTTAACTCTCATTTAGATTGTTTTTCCTAACAATCGACCGATTCTAATTTCGGTTTCTGAGTTGTATACTGTTACGTTGAAACTTGTAAAATTCCTAACTTCCTCTTACGAATTCAGATTTAGACGTTCTCTATATGCACACTCTCATTTTAACAACTACTACGACTTTTGTTTAGATTACTTAGGCTAAAAAGCAACCTATCTCCGATTCATGATTTACGACATACGGTTCAAGCGCAAAACTTCAGAAGGTCATAACTTCTTCACTTGAAATCGGATTTTGGCGTTCTTTATATGTACAATATCATTGTCACATATACTATACTTTGGATAAGATTATTTATCCTAAATAATCCTTTATCAAAAAGTAAATTTTAACGCTTATAGTAGTCAAATTGGCTAGCCATAATTTGTGGGTGTTACAATTATCTCCCCCTTAGGATGATTACGTCCCATAATCATCAACAAAACAGGGCTTGTAGAATGACTCCACACGTTACCTTTCCATCCTAGGTGATAACCGTAATTCTTATGTATTTTATATAGAGTTTTCAACTCTTAGACTTTTTGACTATTGGTGGTGCTCAATCATGCACCTGCTCTAAATTTGATCTTCATCGGAAACTTCTGATCCATCTATTTTGACTATTGTAAAAGGACCGATGGGTCATGTTCTAATGACCTCTCATCGTAAGATGCAATGGTTAGACTCAGGTCTCTTTGAGTCAGACTTCATAATGGAAGATACCTTCCTTTCATGTTCTAATGTGATATAATCACTTTCTAGCATGTAACACTTCTAGCTACATGTTGCTTTAGCCTTAACGATGACTACGATACTTCTATTGATCGCTTTAATTATCCTTTCCTTCAATATTCTGGCTTAAGTCAGATGCTACACCGAACATGGTTCTCTGTAACTTACTTTGCAGACTTATCTTCGTCGGACTCGATTTGATATGACCACTAGGTTCAGAATAACAATCATTTTAGTCATTACTGAAACAATGGTAACGACGGACATGAACAACAAATTTATTTACTAGCCCCTTGGTACTTTGTGACTCTTCCTGATCCAAGTGTGAGTCATGTGCTTCCAGTAGTATAGGCCTCTACTACTTTTCACACCTACTAATACTCATCCCATGAATTGCCTCACAGTCCCCAAGTTCTTATACCCAAAATTTACACAACTATTTAATACATATGATTGTGTCCAAACAAGCATAACGAATTTCCCTTGACTCCACTAGGATTTATTACATGTGTACCTTTAACAGCAATTATGCTTCAACTCAGTTGGTGCTGGAAACGCCAGACGATGAGATGACTTCATGGGTTACACCAAAAGTTCTATCCTTCCGCCAAATCAAAAGTGTACTTCTCCCGTACCAGACATATCATTTATCAGACGTATTCTAAAGGAAAGATACCATTCTATAAGTAT